GCCAAATTTGAATATCACACACTTAGGTGCAAGATTATGCTAAAATTCCATGTTTTCCGTCCCGTTTTGCTCATTTCTCGGAGGTAAAATGAGCAAGAACGCTCATGTGTACATCATTCTAGATAGAAATAAATGGCCTTTTTAGAAAGTGAACCATCGAAAAAGCAATGTTGGCAGTTTTCTCAAAAAATGCCTGAATTCAAGAAGTTTTAGGTTTGCGTGGTTTTTTTTGAGTTGCAAAATCCACTTGAACATGACGGTGCTTTTTTCGAAATTTCTGAAGAACCATTCGAGGCACAGAATTCGTTTTGGCATCGTTGGATAGATAATTGAATGGGGGGTCATAACCCTCCCCCCTGGATCCCCCCTTTGTAGAAATCTACAGAATAAATCAGTGCAAAGAGGATTTTATAAATGTTGCTTCCTTTTCCCAAGTCCAAAATTCGTTTTTCCATAAAATCCAATCGACGTTTCGCTTATTGCTACAACTGACAGGTCCAGAGACAGAGCGTCCTTTTCTGCTAAGGCAGAAAGCGGGAAGTTCACACTCGCCTGTGTGAACTTTAGATCTGTGAACATGAAAAGCCATTGTTTCCTTCATTCTCTTTGTCACACAGCTAAGAAAAAAAGCAATTATTCCAAACATAACGCTGCAATTTTCCATATTTTCGCTTGTCGTTAATTCCAATCCTCCATTTACTTGCAAATTACACTTAACCATTTGGAAACCACTTTAACTAAAAAAAAATCGAGACAATTAACCAGCCTTGACTTTACCGAAACGGTAAATAAACATTTTTATTTCCAATTACATAAATACGTGCAATTATTTGTTTTAGTGTCGAACTGGGCGTGTCGAAGAACATGTTTAATTATCTAATCGGTCAAGTAGGTACGGAACGAACAACCTGAGCTGCGATTCGCTACAGAACGATTGTTTGTTGGCTTGTTTGATGAAAAAAACCCAAAAAACTTTGTCAATTCGCTTAACAACGAGCGGACGTCTTGGTTATTCATGTCCGAGCCTTCCACTTTCATCCGGTTGATGGTCTTTCAGCTTGACAAACCAAATGGGTTTTTTCCTTTCACATGGGCGAAATCAGGCAAACATAATTCGAACTTCAACAGTTCAACATACACATACAAATTCCCAATACATGGCTATAAAAGCTTCGTTTTCGAAATACAGGGCGACAAACTTTACTTTGAAAAATACATAATTATAAATTGTCTCAAAACGGTTTTATAAATTTTAATAAAACCTTGTTGATAGTAACGGTTGTAAGAGATGTTTATTTTCAAATTTGTTTTCAGTGGCGTGCACACCGCTATGTTATTGGATATTTTTGAGAAAAAAACCGTACGTCACTGGTTTTCTGAAGAATAAAAACTAAAACTTAGTTGATTGTTCAATTCTGAAGAAAAAAATACTCTTATTTCTGTCGTCGGACTATCCGTTTTCCGGTAAAAACACATTTTCATGATGTGAAAATAATCTAGGAGCAAGCTGCAAAATATTTCATTGCAGCAGCTAAATAGGAGCCCTATTTTGAATTGTGAACTATTGTAAATGCATATTAAGTCTTTTATAAATGTAGGTTATTCTTAAAATGAACTGTCTAGTTGATTGTTTTACCATTATTTTATACTGCAAAATTTCATCATCAAAAAGTTTTTGCAGCCTTTACTACCCGCAAGGTTCATTCTCATTTATCAAACCGATCTGGTTCAGGTCTATCTACTCATGAATTTACGGTATTTATTTCTGAAACACCCTGCTCATATTGGCGTTTATATCTGTCGGCTATAAATAATACAAAAGCAAATTATAAAAAAACTGCGAGCGAAGTGCGAACCACGCAAATAAAGTCTTTGTCCAAAGGAGCGCTGCAGCCCTACAGCTCTTATGCGTCAGCCGCCTTTAACTTTAAGTTAAAAACTTTAAGTTTTTTTGCGAGACAGACTTTACATTTTCTCAATCCTGCCTCTATATGTGCAAATATAATATAAGAGTAAAAATAATATTTACTAGTAGATAAGGGTGATTCAAAATGCAGTGCATTGAATTTGGGACAATATTTTACGTGCTAAAATAAGGAAAATATATACAGCATGTCTACTTAAGCCCGCACCCTACGGAAAACTTTATCGGCCCTAAAATTATCTGAATTTTGAATCGCCGAATACATTTATCAAACTGAAAGAGCGACAAGCGACGGCAGTAACTCGTTTCCTCATGTTTATAAGTTAATAAATAGCCAGTAGTAAATATTAAATGGCAACTAGTCACCATTTTCTTTTGAAATCAGTTATAAATCTTCAATTTTTATTTACCCTCTAATTTACATCTACGAAACATGTAAACAAATCTACTTATATTGAATTAATTATTTCACGCCTTTACAGAAGGACAATCCTACTATGAGCTCATGGTCATCATTTTAATGAAGCTGTTCTTTTCTCAGTTTTAAAATGTTACTTAAAGAAATCAGCTTCAATCGAATACACTCGGCTACTTAAATAAAGGACATAAGCCTGAATAACTCCACGTTCACTTTCCGCATAGCTTCGACTAAATATATCCATGTGCAAACCTGCTTGCATTTCGATAAATCAGTTTATGGCATATGCGAGTTAATAATAATTAGAAAGTAGACAAACGATATTGTACAAATAAAAGGTCGTAGCGGAATTACCGTAAGGCTTTTGCGTAATGAGCGTTTTCTGGACTATTTTTTTTTCTTTGCAGCTATTCATGTGCGTACGCATGTCAATGGTAACTCACAACAGCCCCATTCGCCCCCGTATGGGGAGCGGCCCCACTACAGCCCCACATCGTACACTGATGGGGCTTCTCCCACTGGAGGCTACCAATATGGTCGATTCGATGCCAGCGCCCTTCACATAGCGCACGCCCTCAAGCAAACTGAGCTACAGAAAAGCTACAAGATCCATAGGGAAAAACCCATTGATGTATATTTGGTAAGTTTGAAGCGAAACTTCCATCAAATATTCAGGGTTATTATCGGTGTATCTTTTTCGGAAAAGAATAGCGGGTACAAAGAAAGTAAATTAAGAAACTCTATGAACTTTGAGACGAAATAATAGATTCAGATTAAGAGTTTTACTTCTGCAAAGACCTCATGAATTCCCGGTTTGAAATTGCTTTTTTATGAATTTTATTTTGCAACATTCTCCAAAGAAAAAATCTGAAGCTGCTAGATTGTGGTGGCCACCTTATAAGTAGGTCCAAGCGCTCCTATCCAACCGCATTTGAATTGGATTTAATTTGATTGAAACCCGCTGTATTTTATGCCGCAATTGTCCGCGTCCCATATACTGAATAACCCTGTATAAATAGATGCAAATCTAATTTTGATTAGGCATTGTTGAAACAATGCGATGGATAACAGCCGACCATTTATGGAACTCATTTTCTCCACTTAGCGATCCATAAATGGAGTCGAGGCAATCGTGGTCAAGACGCGCGGCTTTCTAGCCGGTAAAAAACTGTTTTTAATTTTATGCGACACCTTGACTTAGACGGGTTTGGATGTTCCGCGATGGAGTTGAAAAGTGAAAGGCGCCGAAAAGTGCACTAAAGCAAACCGAAAAAAAATTCATGAAAATTCAAGTTTAAACCTGCAATAGCAACGCCAACACGATCTGGCGCAGATTGTGCATTGTTTTCGAACGGTGTTTTATGAAGACCTGTAGCCAGATCGCCTGATAAATCCAACAATGGTACCGACGAAGCCTGCAGTGTTCTGCATATTTATGGTTTCCTATCTGTGTTGGATCGCTTTGGTTCAGCATTGAACTTGATGTACTTTGAGGAATATTTGTTGGAAAAAATTGCAGGATCAGTTTGGATGCGTCCACTTTTTATCATGTGGAACTGCTCCGGGCGCGATTTATTTGCCGTATGAAAACATTCGAAAAAAGTTTATTGGGTTCTCAGATGTTACCTAAATGTGGGTGTTTGCCTTGTCCAGGGCGTAGCCAAAGTCTTGAAATTTTTTTTTTKACTAGTTTGGATGCGTCTCGTTTGTCCCATTGTTGTTTCAAAGCTGCCACAAACTTTTTGGGTACTAAACACAATAGAAAAATKATAATTTATCGGTTATTTTACCTCGAAATTTAGAAACTTTTTTTAAGCAATAAACCAGGTTTTGGGAGCAACTTTCGAAGAATAGTGTGTAGTTTCGCGTAAAATTTTGTTTTATTGGTCCAGTTTGGACGCACCCTTTATGCCCAACTGTGAGATTTTGCGAACTGCTCCCTAACTATGAGCATGTTGGTTTGAAAGTTGTCACAATCTTTCTGGGAACTAAACGCAATAGAAAAATTATAATTTTTCTGGGTATTTTACCTCGAAATTTAGAAACTTAAATTTTTWAGCCGTAAAACAGATTTTGGGAGTTAGTTTTGAAGCTRAAAGTGTGTAGTTTYGCGTAAARAWTKGTTTTATTGGAMCAGTTTGGATRCAYCYTTTATGYCCCRCTGTGGAGATTTTTGCAAACTGCTCCCGAACTATGATGATGTGGGTTTCAAAGTTGCCACAAACACTTGTGTTGATGACTGACTTGATTGAWTGTTGAAGACGCATTTGCGTTTGTGTAAATGCCAGTAAATCTTWTATTGCGCATCGYAATTACAGTTAATGGACAAGTTTGCACTCATTCTTCGGGTAACATTCTGGCTTAATKAAAGCTCTGTCCAAACTGCTCTAGATTTAATTTAATTATCAAGCAAAAATCCTTTATGTGGYTACGTCCTTGTCGGGATAATTRCATGATTTTTGACGAGATTCTTTATGATTGGAAAAGTTGTTGATGTGGAAACGTGTCAGTTTCTGAACTGYGATTGATCAAAATGACGATTTAAGCAAAGAATGTATTCAATTAGATACCTGTATGTATGCATATCTAATAAAGTGAGTCATCTAATCCAATCTTAAGAGTGTAGAAAAGTGAAACTCCAGTCAGTAACCGCGAGGTGAAGTGAGAAATGGGAACAATAAGTGTTGACAACGCCGGAATTTGGCGCACCTTGTAAAAGAATGGCGGTATTTCCCAAATAAAAAAAAATACGACCTGCTATAGCCACTAATAAAATAATTTACGAGCGAAATTCTTGCGGAAGACTTCACTCGTAAAGTCGTGTGTCTTTTTCTTGTGTACCCAAACGGCCCGAGCTTGTTTTATTTGAGTGATAAATCGAAAAACTCTGCGAATTTGGACATTTTTTCATTAAACATATTAACAGAGAAATTGCATTTACAGTATGATGATATTGTAAGAAAACGGGCAATTAACCAGTAGAAAACGAATGAATTGGTTGAACAGCTTTCCATTTTACATAATGCAGTTTTTCAATGTCGTAATGGCCGTTAATTAACATGAACGCCTCTTCGTTCAATGATTGTCGATTTTAATTGATCATAAAAAACAAATAAACTTTAATTATTGCTGATTTTACACTGGTAACGAAAGTCCATAGTATACACAAGAAAATGCTTCAGATTTTTTTCGCAACACTTAAATGGTGCATTTTTTCGCTTTTTAGTCTTGTGTGTTAAATAAAAGGAAAGCCTGTGCCATGCATGCGTCGAACATAAATCAAACGATTTAAATTGAAAATTAAGAGGATTCAGGGGCAAATTATGCGGCGCAGTCACGCTGCGTTCTGTTCTGATTGCATCGTCAATTAGCTTCAGTCCACCGTAAAACACGAAAACCCAACTAATTATACAGGACGAATCAGAAACGTGTCTCAGTTGAAAATACAACAATAATAAATTTCAGTCGGCGCTCGATTTGAACGAGATGTGTTAATCTCAGGCGCTTCCAGGACCGGTTTCAAGCCTATTAGCTTTTATCCGCTGGGGACAGTATTTTACATTGTCCCAGATGCATGGGCAAAATAAACTGCATGTTTGGGAGTGTTGTTTTTAGACCAAACCCAGATGATGAGAGCTAAAAGGTTGAAAACCGATGCTGGGGGTGCCTGAGATTAACAGAAATCTCGAAACCTGATCGATTCATGTCAGCAGGAATTATATTTTTAAACTTCTATATTTATTTATATTGGGGGCGAGAAGCGAAACGATACAGCAATTCTAGAAAATTCACACAAATCGTGTTATCTAAAAATGTAAACATTTYAAGTAGATTTTTTCCCGATACGGTGCATGATCATCAGAAGTAGTTTTCTAATCTGGAACCTCAAAAGTCTTTTGAWTTTGTCTAATACCAGCAATTTGCATATAAAAGAAATGTTAACTTCAACTTCACACTTTTGGAACAAATTGATTACCTACTTTCTTTTATTTTTTTATTTGGCGGTTTAGCTTTTGAACACCGTGTATATTTGTATCATGTTTATTTTCAAAGAATGAAAATTATCTAACGGATTATTGCAAATGAAATATTTTGTGTTGTAAAAGGCCAAGTCAACATAAAAAGAGTTGAAACTTAAATTTATGCAAAATTTTTGCTCAATTTGTAAAAAAATCATCAAAGAGCACCCGGCATTTGGTAAAAGCAACACTGCCGTTGCTTTTTTTTATCAATGTTCTGCTGTTTTTACCTTGTAACCATCCTATTATTTTGCTCGGTTTTACTAAGTCTAAATCGCAAGGCCATGGGATCTATACTAGGTAATTATTGCATAAATTAGCTGCCCACAATTACGGTTTCAAAGTGCAGTTAGCTATTCTTATAATCATTGTTCACAGCGGAAGAACTAAAATATAGTTTGCATCAAAAGGSGCGCTTAAATGCATAGAACTTCCATTATCATTCCGGATACATTTATATACACGGTGATTTTTTTTCGATTTGCCAGCTAGTGCGAAATTTTCAGCCAATGTGTGAAATTTGGGGCTTTTAACTGGAGAAGTGTAAAATTGATCTTTTTGACGCAACATTTACGYTAAAATTGAAGTGGAATTGTYCAATTGCGCGTTATAACAGAAAACGGGAGTTTTGGGGACTCATGGACTAAAGGAATTCATTTAGTGTGAATGATTTCAGTCTGAAAGTTCTCCAAATGTGAATTGCGTCCGATTCAAAATGCGTCTTTAGTTGATTGCTGGTTCCAAACTTTGTAACTCCTGGCAAAGATTCGTTCGAGCAAAAACAAAAGGCGCAAAAATCCCCATAACTGACATGAAGTTCGTAAAAATTCAGTCTCAAATTTCTCGTTTAAGGAGTTTTTAAAATTGTAAAAATCTGAATTGAATAGATTTATAAAATAGCTAAACAAACTGTTGCGGCATCGCCACATTTGGTCTCGTCATACTTTCTAGATTTGAATGCCTAGAAACTCGCACACATAAGTGAAATACATGTAATTTCAATCGTAAAAGGGGATCTCGGACGTTGGATTTTGATCTAGAATTTCATAGATTATAGGTGTGCACGTTTCGGCTGCCTGCGCGTCCTCCATACACGAATACTGACTCAATTAAAACATGTTTTTCGACCCAGAAACCACATCAGATCTCCACTCTGTGAACCAACAGCGCACTCCACTAGTGAGGAAGAAGTTCGCCAGTTTTATTACTGCTCAAAAACGGCTCACTTTTCGCTCAAAGCCCGAAAAACTCGTCGGTTTCAGGTAATCGCCGCGTAAACCTCCACTGAAAATGCACGCCACTCCTGCACGCGAAACATCAGGATGAAATCGTTTTTCATGAGGGCCTAAAAGTAGAAAAAATTCTCCTGTTTTGAGCCCTGGCCGCGAAAGATCAACTCTTTTGATATATGTTTTTTTCGTGTTACATTATTTACGTGGTTCCCCATAGATAGATGTTTAGAATCCGATGTGGGCTGACCTTAACGGTGCAAAATGCAAATCAGTACCGGAAATAGCAATTAAAGCTGAAATAATAATAAGGAATTAAGTTGTGCTTCGCGCACCAAAAAACCATCTTGCAGAAAATAAAAACTAATTAAGGTAATGGAGTGAGCGGATAACAGTACCCGGTATGCGGACTTGGCATTCAAGCTTAGAAACAATTTTCCGATTTTCGAGCTTTATCAAGCCATTTGCAATCATAATCGTTTACATTCTGGCTTCAAATCCGACATTCTTTACGCGTATTTCGAACCGCAAGCTGATTTATCTGGGCTACGCTCCACTAACTTCTTCTTGTGCAACTCCACCTGTAACGCATAATCTCGTGGTTTTGCTTATCCGCCTCTGGCCTCTCTTGATTATCGGTTCCAAAGCCGCAATTCTCATGGTCGAATTGTTGGGTTCGCACCTACGAGTCGGATTTTCTGAATGTACCGACGATGGTTCAAACGTATGTTAATTCGACCCAACACCGGCCTTATATGGGGCAACCACATGGTACTTGTGACGTCATCTACGTCGTCGTCAGGAACCACGTTACGTCATTGGTGCGTGGACTCAATGAACCATCCGTTAACGCCCACAATATCAAAACCTGGCAGCCAATCAGAAGAATTCTTTCTACCCAAGTTAACCGGGCCATATTTCAACCGGTTTGCATTATTTTTTTGCTCAAAACCGTTCTATGGATTTCAGTTGCTTGTAACTTGAGTTTTGCTTCTATTCTATATTCTACTGCCGAAAGTAACATAGTTGTCGCGCCTTTCAAGCCTTAACTTCTGGTAAGAAGGCCAGCTTACTTGTAATACACAGGGTGTTTCATTTGCAATTTTACAGCTACATACAGATAGCATCACTACATTTTTTAAAGAAGCTACGAGTTAGGCGAAATATTATTAAAATTTGAAGTTTCAGTACGAAAATATACGAGTTACCGCCCCAGACTTTAGCATTGAAAATATATCCATACGTCCAAAGTTTTGATAAGAAAAAAAGCTCCGAATTCCCAAGTTCACCACCGAAACAATAACACACTTGGTTGAAAGGAACCGTTTATTTAAGCAATTTCGTTGCAGATGATGGGAAATAAAAACTGGATCTTACACAAGACACCATTTAAATGTCTTGCAATAAAACAATTGTCCATCGGTATTTTCCTGCACAAGAAGAAAGTAGACATACCTACTTCTTTGCAATGTACAATTATCGGCCAGTTTACGTCCATCCACTTCCTGTCCCAGTCCAATTACATGTGCAATTCGCAGCAAAGCGGAAAACTGTTCGCAAAATCCGACTTTTCTTCAAAGCCTGTTGGGTTCTAGCGCAAGAACCTCCTTGATGACTGGTTGGTTCATCGTGGGACTGCAAACCAGGAAATATGCGAACTCAACAATAAAACAATCAGAAGCACCAGAATGCATTATGCCATCATCCTATTTAAGATTTATGTTATATAACTACAGACAATTTCTATAATTACACCCATGTTAAATGGTGCTTAATTAAGAGACCCGTTGGGTGCGAAGGTGCAGTAGTCGAGGCCAAACTGAACAATAGGATTGGTTCAGTTTGATGTCCATATCTTCCATCGATTTGTCAGGGAAGGTCAGCGTTACACTATAAATTTACACCCTTTTTTAATAAACAAAGAAGTTTATTGGTGCTAATGCGATTAAATGACTATTTTTATCAATATCTTGAAATGTTTGCTTCTTTTGACGATCTCAGGCAAAATCAAGTCAACTTAAGTTAGAGACTTCTGGAAACTATCTTTGATCCAAGATCTACCAGTGGTTTCTTGCAACGATCCACAAAAGTACAATTTTGTTTCCATTTGCAGGACAGAGACGAACAAAGACGCTTGGAAATGAAGCATCGGAAGGAGGAGGATGATCTTTACCGGAAGTTTGCGCGCCACCGCGAAGAAGAAGAGCGCCGAATTAGGGATGAAATTCGGGTAATTTTCCCGTCTTTACCAAATTGACCATTTTCAAACTGACACTTTTTGCTTGTTTGCTTAGGATGAATGGGAGAAAGAACTAGAAAGGCTAACGAACCGCTTCGAGAGGGAAATGCAAATGAAGCGCAACAAAAGGGATGACCAAAACGTGCTCACGCTAAGACACCAACAGGAGCGGGAGGACTTGGAGAAAAACATGACTCTACGACGGGATAAAAAGAAGGAATCCCTAACGAGGAAGATGCTGGAACACGAAAGGTAGGAGGCAAAGAATATCGATTAAATATACACGTTGCCAGGGGTTTACTTATAATTCTTTAGAGTTCCACCATAAAATGGCGTTCACTTAATTCATGCAAAATGTGGGATGTAAGTAAATTTAATTTTGCTTACATATATTAGTAGCGCCTTTTAAGCCATGTGGGTCGGATTTATGGTTAGTACCATTCGATGCATAGTGGGAACCGGACATTAGGAATATGCCTGATGGACTAAAGCGATGAAAGCATTAAACAAATTCATTTCAAACTTTGTCAAGAACTTTAAAGAAAATGCCTGGACATGCCAATTAGCATTTGAAATTGTGCACACAGTAGCATATTAATCGAAAAAGTCGATTAATTATTTTAATTTGAACACGATCAACTGCCCTTATTGCCGTTATTTCCACTAAAAAAACAGATTTTTATTTACCTACATTTATTTGAAAAATGAAAAGAGCGAAAAGAACCACAAAACTACCTCGTTCGTTCTTAATCAATTCATGTAATTGTAGGGCTGCGACTGCCGCTCTGGTTGAGAAACAAAGCCACGAAATGTTGGAACTTATCAATGAAAAACGCAGCGAATACATGCAGGCCGAGTCTCTGTACTTGGACCACAACGACGGTTACACTGAGGAGGCACAGCCTTATCCCGTGCATGCGCCGCCTCCTGCGCCTCCTGCTTTAAGCAAATTCCAAGTGAGCAAAAATAGCCAACTCCAAAACAACATAATTCCAATTCATTTGCCTTTCAGGTCTATAACGATCCGGTGGAATTCTCCAATGTGGATCAGATCGCTATATCAGTTGCTCAAGAAGACCAAAAATCCTTCACTGACCTGGTGAGGCAGCTTGTGGGGCGGTGCGGCTCAGACATAGAAAAAGCCCGGTAAATCCAATGCAATTAAACAATTCCGGATAACTAAAATACGCACTGTTTCCAGAACGATCTTCAGGTGGATAACAGTGAAGAACTTGAATACCATGTCTTTTGACGATAATTTGCGAGGCGATACCCCCATGGGGCTGCTTAGGGGCATAAAGAATGGCACCGAGAGTTATCATGTGCTGTTTAAGAGGCTGTGCAGGTAATAATTGGATGGCGACCAGCAAAACAGGGTGATAGTGAAATGGTTTTTAGCTATGCAGGGTTGCACTGTGTGGTGATCAAGGGCTACTCAAAGTCGGCAGGATATCAGCCAGGAGTGCGGTTTGAAGACAATCGGTTCCGAAACTCTTGGAATGCGGTTTATGTAGCTGGAGCGTGGAGGTTTGTGCAGTGCAACTGGGGAGCCAGGCATCTGGTCAATGCCAAGGAGGCGCCGAAGGCTGGAAACAAAGCCAAATCCGATAGTTTAAGGTAAACCAGGCAATTCCAGTTTGGTACAGATCAGTGATATTCGATGCTCTAGGTACGAGTACGACGATCACTACTTCCTAACGGATCCCAAAGAATTTATTTACGAGTTCTTCCCGCTGCAAGCCGAGTGGCAACTGCTGAAGAATCCCATCACGCTGCAGGAATTCGAAGAATTGCCGTTCGTCCGGTCGCTGTTCTTCCGCTATGGGCTTTACTTCTCCGACCCCAAGACGAAAGCCGTCATGTTTACGGATTCGACCGGTACAACTACTCATCTTCCGATTAAAACGCTCATTAAACTCAAACGTGTGGCTTTCAGGGGCTGCCACTGTAAAAATCGCCATGCCTTCACACATGCAAGGAACGCTGATATTTCACTACAACCTCAAGTTCTACGACAGCGACGGGGATACCTTTGAAAGTGTCTCGCTGAAAAGATTTGTTATGCAGGTAGGCAACATTAATCAGCGAAAATTCAACGGTAATACTTTGGGGCGTTTTAGTCGGTGGTGGGCAACACAGTGGCGTTCCGAGTGCACGCACCCTGCAGCGGCGCCTTTCTGCTCGACATATTTGCGAACGCAGTTACCCCCAAAGAGTACCTTACTGGCGAACCAATGAAGTTCAAGAGCGTGTGCAAATTCAAAATATGTTGTGAAGATCTGCAAACAGTGATGGTGCCACTACCCGATTGCGCCAGCGGCGAATGGGGCCCCACTAAGGCTACTAGGTTGTTTGGATTGGTTCCGATCACGCACCAAGTATGTACCAAGTCATTAGGCGAAACTACATTAAACGACCGAATTAAGTTAATGTTTAGCGGCATTAAATGGTCTAAATAGTATCGGAACACTGGCAGTGTCAATGCTTTCGCGTTCATTTTTTGGGCCTTTAGGACGTTGTTGATAATATGATGAAAATAATTTCTTACCGACGTTGAGACATATTTTCCAGGGCGGCCTAAAAGCTCAAAAACTCACCAGTTTCTATATGAAAAACTACAAGTGTGAGATAATTTTCTGTTTTGTTTTAGGATGCACTAATCTTTGCTGGCAGAGAGTTGGAAACGCAATTCCGAATGTCGCGTCAACTAACCGACTTTATGGCCACTCTGCACAAGAACGGCGTTGAAGAGAAACGATTGTCCAAGTTTGTGTCCCACAATGTGACCGATGATATTGTTACGTTCAATATCAGTTTTCCGGAAGAAGGACAATACGGACTGGACATTTACACGCGCGAAATGGCCTCATTGCAGGACTTGCCAGGTGAAAAGCACCTGCTGACGCACTGCTGCAAATACCTCATCAATTCATCGAAACGAAACTAACCAGGTTACCTTTAGGTAGTAAACTTGCCCATGGAGTGCGGAAACTTGTTGAAAATGATTGTTCCAAACGCGGTAAGCCAGATTGGAAAAAAATCGTTTTCAACAACTGTGTTTTCCGCGAGACCTGCGCGCTTGTTTGTTCATTTTTTTCAGATGTTATCTAGTCTTAAATTAATTTACATGTGAAAACATTAACGACGATTAACCGGACTTTTGATTTGCTTAGATCGGTTTTGCTGAAACTTCGGTGCTGACTTAGTGAGAGTTCAGAGATACTTAATATATTTCTTAGTTGCCTAACACTTGCCAAATTTCAGGCATATTTTCTTGGAAGGGTTTTGTTCGGAATGCATATACAGGGAGGTCCAGTTTCCAAAGAGGAAACTTCAGGGAACGACAGAGAATAGAAATCAATATGAGTTTGCATTATAAACTATAATTAGGAAACGCTTTGTTAAAGGAATACAGGGAATTTAAGTTTGTTTTAAAAAAATCAAATTTATTAATTGTTGTCAAACAGCTGGGGATATCAAAGCAAAATTTTGCAGGCCCTGCCAACGACGAGAGAGTACATATATATAAATAATCTTTATTTCCTACAGAAAAAGCCTATCGACCCAATCGGTCTTTCTGCCCTAAGAGTACATTTTGCAATAAGAACGAAATTTTGTGTTTTGTCTGTAGCCTCCGTGCCAACAGATAAATGAGTGTTTTTAAAGACAAAAATAAGAATACGACACTGCTGTTTCATAGAATAAAAATCATGTTTTTGCATTCTCCATTCAGTTCGAAAAAAAATGCCTTTTAAATTTCTCCGTACAAGCGTTTTTACGTAAAAAATAGCTGATAATTTAATGAAACTGTAATATAATTAATTCGCAAATTCAATCGATGATAATCACAACAAAATTAAAGAAATTGTCTAAATGTAGTCCGCGCTCTTTAATACATTTTCGACATGGACAACTAATTATGCACGAATTTATTGCAGCCGATACCTTATGAAAATTTTTCCGCATATCATTGCAGGCTTGTTGAATTCGTCAAAGTAAATAATCTCTGGTTAAAACTGGAGAAGAATAAAGTTTATATTTTTTTTCTATTTGCCCCCAAACGTAAAAGTCCAATGAATTCAAAAAATCAGTGGCGTTCCACTCCAATCATTTTTTCCTTAAAAGCATGTGTTAACGTGTTAGTACGGACATCACTGACAAAACAAAAAAATGAGTTTTTATTGGAAAATATGCTCCCCGTTGGCAGTTATTGCCCGTAAAATATAATTTAATCCTTAATGAAGCGTTTCAAGAATGCAGCTTAAAAATCATTCATAGTATTTTGATTCTCTATCGCGCCCTGAGTTGACTCATTGTACATATTTCTATGCAGTTTCCTCCTCCAAATTGAATAAATCGAATATTGATAATATAGGAGAGTGCAATATTAACAAACGATTCGACATAAGCAACAAGAGATTTTTATATAAAAAATATATATTTTTGTAATAATTATGAATATGCACGTGTTATGAATTTATATATATTTTTGTTATGTACTATTAATTTAATTGCGTTAGGATTGAACAATTTTGTACATTGCTTAAATTCACATTCCACTTAATTGCATTTAAAAGTAATAAAGTTTATTTATTAAGAGATCGTTTGATTGGACATTGAGGACAAGAAACTATTTCAGAAATTTACATAGAAATTCGATTGCATTCGATATTGCACCTTGTTAGTTATTGTAACTGAGCAGGCCAAATGTGTTTATTCTCATTTCCTTTACTTTTGAGGTCAACTTTTGAGTCTTTTCAAAGCAGAATTGCAGCGGCTCGACTCTACGTTGTCAATAATGGACGTAAGCATACCCTCAACTTCCGTGACCGCGTATTGTAAGTTGCTGTTGTCCAATTGGCTCAGAGAGTCGTCCAATGAGAAGTTGTTTGCCAGGATTTGCTGCAGTCTGGCTAGAGCCTCGTCCAAGTTGTGATGCGAGAGCTTTCTGGGCAATTTCGGCACATCGAAATGCGCTTTAGGCTCGGCAAAGTACGGAAGCTCTAATGGAGTCTGACATTCTGAAACAGTCGCAGGTTTAATGGTGTTTTGGTTTAATTATTAGAGCCTCTTACGGGTGTCACTGCCACTTGCAAGACTGTCCTCTATTTCAGTCATCAGTGTTATTGGACTCACGTTCTCCAAGCTGCCCAGCTTGTACTTGGAGGCATTGTGTTGGCACACCATGGGAGTGGACTGAGTCTTTCCCAAGTTGCATCTGTTCTCCTTTGTGGCACTACCTGAAGTGTTGATTTGCATCTGCAACATTTCCTCTGTAGATGCACATTTTTACATGTTTTTTTTCAGGACGGCAAACCTTGAGCATTTTCAGCTTCTGAATATTCCCTGCCATGAACAGCCGGTACTCCTCTAAGTACTTGCGCATCTCTTTGTCGTTGTGGTGTCCGAAGATCAGCATCTGCTGAAGCTCGCGGTTTTGAGACTCCAGCTGCCTGATTACGCCTTGAAGCTGCGTTTCTGGCGAAGAAAGCGGATCAATGTCACATAACTGAGCGGCGGACATAAGCTTGCAGCCTCCGTTGGCAAAATGCCTGGAAACGAGCATTTAGGAAAAACACTGCTAGTTGCCCCATCCGCTCACCTGCTAGGCTTCACTGCGGAGTAAAAACTGTTGGGTTTTTTCGCGCAAAACAACCAGCCATAAAGGCCATGGAAAACCATCCGGCAAGCGTCCTGAAACCAGAGTCACAAAAATGCGTTCATACAGCCTTTCATTTAACATTCACATACCTTCTTGGATAATACCGTGCAATATTCCCTCAAAGAGTGGGATGCTTTGTGCGAGTGGCTTGTGCGCCCTGTGAGGAAGCACCGCTGGCATTGAAGGTACTTTGGGCACTTTGCGCAACTGTAGCGCAGCCCTAAAAGGGGCGTTGTTTTGCATGTAGAGCACTTGAGCGGGTGGATCACTGTAATAATGCAATTGTGAACGAAAAATCGGTGGTTACTTTCTGTAGGACTTACCAGTTTCCGAGTTCTTGAGCTTCGCAACCAGAGGCAGCCAGGATAAAAAGGGGATGTCCGAATTGAGCCAGCTCATAAAGGTGCATTCAGCAATCCCCACCAAGCCGGGCGACTGGATTTCACGAGAGAATAAAGTGTGGAGAACCACATAAACTGGTCTACTCTAGTACTTACATCGGCAAAACATTTGTCTACCGCAGCGTTTAGGCAGTGCACACTAAATACCGGGTCTTCGTGTAGATACTTGATTAACAAGTGCATTTTCTGTAGCAGGCCAAGCAGTCGCACCCTGGTGATGCAATTGTTATGGTCAGCACACAAAGAGAAAATATACTTGTGCAGCTCGGGCAGGGAACTGTTACATAGAAGCCCCAAAGTGAGCTTCACTGAGATGACCTGGATGGTCCCTTCCCTGCAGCTAATAAGGAAATAACATCACTGCCCAATTCCAGTGGGGTTCTTCACACAGCACCAACCTATCAAAGACATTGTATAAAAAATTGATGACCATCTCAGCCACAAAATCAACATCGATGTTCATGTGGTTTTGATTGTTGGCGGCAAAAAAAATATCCGCCAACAC